ATTCAAAGCATAAACTCTGAATCCTGTATTTGTGCATACAGAATGTGATCATATATACTGTGTAACACTATGCTGGCTCGTTTTTCTCTATTGTCTGCACAAATCTGAATCTGTATGTGAGGTCTCAAAACAAGGTCTTCTGTCAGAGGAAGATGCTGTAGCACGTCTCCTTACCTTGGAGTGTTTGTTGCTCTGGACTGTGCGCTGTAACCAGCTTTAACTTTATAGGACTGGTGCTGGGATCTTTATTGAGCTGACAACTGAAGAAAATGAGGAGAAGGAGGGAGGGCAGATCCTGTTAGAGCAAGTAGGGGTTTGAGGCTGTGAAGAGCTGGCAATAATGTGTATCGGTACATACCTTCCTTAAATCTGGGGAATCTGGAAACATTTAATATCAAGTGAGAGATAGAAGAACAGCACAGAAATCTTCCCAGTGGGGGAAGAAAAAAACCAGGTCACTTGCATTTGTTGTTTTTCTAACTGCGGATGTATTGAGCTGTGTAATAACTTGCACATATCTGGAAGCGATGCAGAGCACAACAATCAATAATACAAGCAACGATAATCAAGTGTTTCAGCCATCTGACATGAGCAGTCTCCAAAGGTAATTCTCTCCCACAGGACATTGCCAAACATAACTTCAGTTTATTCCTAGTAAAAAAAAGTAAATGCTTACCTGCTGTGCAGAGGCTAACTGGGAAGGGATGGAGGTGCAGGAAAAAGCATGTGGAAGCTACCCATGCCTGTGATGGCCGGCAAACAGCTGCAGATCTGTTTCCCTAAAATCCTTAAAAACACCTCAGTAAACAGCAAATTTGCCTCTGTGTTCAGAAATGCCAGAAGAACAGAGGGAGCACAGAGGAGCATGAGGCTGAACTTATTGTTTGTAAGGAGCAAAGCAGCTTGGCACGAAAGGCCATAGTGAATACATGTTATTGCCACCTTGGTTTTTGACTAGGTTAAGCTGTGGCATGAGCCCAGCCTGATCTAATAAATGAGTGGCAGATGCCTGTGAAAATCACCCCTGTTCCTGTGTGTAAGCAGTCCAGACTGCTGCAGCTAATACCACTTCCAGGTATTTACTACAACTGTTACATGTCTTTGGTTAGGTTGGCTGGGTCTTCTTAATTCTGTTAACTGAATCTCCCTGCTACCAGCCATACAATTTAGAAAAGAAAATAAAGTAATACACAACTGTTAGAAAGGAAAACATAAAGAACCTAGGCTTTACCCACATGTATAGCCACATTGCTGACCAAAAAGCAGTCAGGAGCCTTGGTGATCAGATAGCAGTAATGCTGGGCTATTCTCCTAACATTAACACCATCATTTGTAATTGATTGTAAAACTGAATTGCTTCTCAAGCTACTGCCAAAAAAAAAAAAAATCCTTTTTCATTCAGCATCACCAAAGTGACTTTTATGTTACTTGGGATTTTACCATTGCTACCCCTTTCCAATACAGAGCAGTCAGCAATAGCACATAAATTTTTATGCCTACCCATTACAAGGCATTGCATAAAAAGAGAGGGGGTGTAGATGATAAAACTGATGTGAAAGTTTTCACCATGCCCTACCAGAAAGCGAAATATTTCAAAGCAGGTGGTAAAGGAGAGGTCCCAGCTTCTGTGCCTCCTGTTTGGAGCGTGCCTCCTGGACACTCTCACAAAGCTGGCTTGTTGCTTGCACAGTAAAGTCATTCACTCACTGCTGAGCCACCTACTAATGAAAAGGGGAGAAACAAAGATTGTTAGATGTCTGTGTATCAAATAATCAATAATGCCTTTTTTTTTCCCCTTTATTCATAAGCAATAGAGTGGCAGATAAGGATATAAACCAATCATAGACACAATGTTTAACACAAACTTGTGGTCTGTCACTCTGGGAAGCTTTCTGCTGCATTTTATAGGTCACGGTTCATGAAATTTCACGGGAACTTTCATATATATTCTCTGTAGCAGAATATGACATTTATTTGTTACTAGACCATATAATTTAGGGAGGATGAAGATGCTTTATCCAAAACAACATGTGAGGCAGTCTTTCATACAGTGATTTCTCTCTAATGTATCTGTATTTGGGGATTTCTATATAATTCTGCAAGCTGCTTATTTATTTCTAATGGGAAATAATAAGTATGATTTAGTAATGATGGTCCTATATGAGGCCAGGATGCCCATTCACTTTAAACTCAGATTACAACCTTTGCTTGTTTTTTCACCTGCTGACCCAGACTTTCACTACAAAAAGCTGTTATCTTCCATCTTGAGAAACATGAGCAGCAGAGAGTTAATTGTGTTAAGTCAGTGCTAAGCATTGCATCCCAATTCCAAACACCAGGAAAGTGCATCTCTAACTAGTTTTGGCAGTCACAGAAGGAGAGGAAGGAGTGGGGATCGGAGGTTGAGAAGGATCAAAAGTTAAGAACGACAACATGGGGAAGTACTTCTTTTTCTCCAACACACTGGTTTTATAGGAGAGTACGCCTGCTTATATGATATATATCAAATGTGTTCTCGATGTACTTTGTCCCACAGGCTTGGTACTTCCTTTGTTCATAAGACACTACACACTGGCAAGAACAGTCTTCACTTGGCAGGGTACGTGCTGGGAACATTTCTTGAAACAGGAGAACCTCTGGCAAGTGACCAGTGTCATTGCTGAGACAGGCTATGTCTTTGATTTTTATCCCTCCAAATCATGCCTTTTGGCAGTAGTCCATGCAGATCTGTTTGGGTTAGCCATTCACCTTCGGTGACAGTGTTTCTTCTTCCAGTGCTGGAGGTGCACATGCCTTGGGAGGAAGTAGACGGATGTGTTTTATTTTTTGCAGCTGCATTAGAAAACATTTATCCAATGCATGCAGTTTTCCTTGATTTTCCTGGTCCTCTCTTGATCTTCTACCCAAGTGCATATCCCTTTGCTCTAAAATCCCTCAAACAATTATGAGTTAGCTCTTCTGACTGGAACTTCAGTGTTTAAGGACTTGCCTACCAGCACTTAAGAAGGCAGCCCAGTCCTTCTCAGTGAGTCCCTAAATTGCATGATGAGATGCCGTAGAGTCTGTAGGGCATGTCCATATTTACAAATCAGTAATTCCTCCAAATTACCACATTTGCCATCCTGTAGCCTATGTGACTCTTGGTTTCAATGTCTCTCTTACTGTAATATGAATCGTGTTACCTGGAAGTATTGATGTGCGTGTCCCTCCTTGCAATGTCCTCCCCATGCTGAGCTCCAGCTGATGTAGGTTTTGTGATTATTGTATCCTGCCTTATTGTGGAGTCCTTGAGGCATCATATAGCATCATCCTGCTTCTGTAGCCTGGAGAAATGGGGGAGGTGAAGGAGGGGCATGGAAAGATTCCTTAAGGGATATGTTTGAGGATTGTCATAGCAGTTCTTGCCTACCCAATTCTTGTTCATTTCTCGATCTTAATTTATACATGTGGAGACGTAGCTTTTGCTAACATCAGTCTCAAATCCCAGTGATGTCAGTCAAATTTATGCTCAAAAGTATTCTTCAGACCATCTTCTTATCAGAAAAAAGCCCAAGTTACCTCAATCCTGGCAGACTTTGGCAATCACCCTGAATCTTAGAAATAATACCTTGAATTTGATGTGGTTTTGATTATACTTTTACCTGTGCAATTCCACACCCACACCATGTTTCTTAACATACACCCATTTCTAAGCAATTGTGGCCTACATGAAACCAAATCCCTCATCTTTGTAAAAGCTATGACTTTCACAAGTTAAAGGTGAAATACAGTTTGGTCCAATTCTGCTCTGTGCCAGTGTATCCACATACCTGTCTTATTGCATAAAAACGATATGAGAAACTCGTACTTAATTTTGACATGTATTGTGTTTGCTATTATGGTTTGTCGAGTGTTTCATTACATGTTGGACACACATAACTAAGCAATTTCTAAAGAAAAGAGACTATTTAAGCTCATATGCTGGAGGTCTGCAGGCAACCCTTGATACCATTTGACAAGAAGATTTTTGCCATGGAGGTGAAGGGAGTGGTGGAGACTGAGGAGAGGGTGAGGACTGATAGCTGTAACTATGAAATCCAGATGAGGAGAGGACAGAAACACATAGTAGACCAGTTACTTAATGCCTGGCCAATGGACTTTGCAGTGGTTGCTCGAAGGGCATGGTAATGACTTAGGAGGCCCAAACCTCCTATAGAGGCTCAGGTTGCTGGGAAGTGCTTCAGCTGTGCAAGAGCAGAGCAAGGGTTCCAGTCCTGAGCTGATCATTGCAGGAGAAAAAAGTCAGGAGTTAGCCCAACACAGGAGAGCAGTCTCTTGGAAAGATATTCCTGTAGTACCATTGCTTCTCCCACAGCAAATATTTGCATAAATATATATTCCAGTGAAGCCGTGTAGCATCTTAACAGTGTCAAAATTGTAGGAAAGACTGTGAGACTTGAAACTAATCAACAGGTTTCCACATTATTTTGCTCTAAGGGCTGATCCCACCAAAAAGTCCATGCATTGCAGAGGTTTCCCCAAATAACTGGGGTTAAGTTCTCACCCACATTTTATTGCAGTGCTCCTACATAGCCAAACCCTATATTGTCAGTTCAGTGAAATTAATCACATATTCTCTATATGGAATTCAGTAGAATTAATCACATAGCCTTTATATGGTTTTGCTATGAATGTGAAGTTATATTAATATACAGTTAGCCAGTGAATATTACAGTCAACAGTTTCCTGTTAATACAGAGCATCACTGCATCTCTTTGGGTAGAGACGAGTAGCTTAAAAGAACATCTTTCATTTACTGGGGGGCATTAGAGATTGTTCTGAATAGAATACTCTTTCACAGAAGCAGAACTAAAAGGATAACACAAGTAATTGCATTCTGTAGTGCCCGCCAGTACTTTTACATGCTATGGGGAAAAAAATATAAATCAGCTGTTAGCAGCCTGGTGATCCTAGTAATTGTAATTAATGGGGTTGTTTTGTTTCTCTTTTCTATGTTTTAGGATGGAATGGGGAACCTGAGAATCACAGAAAAAGGTCTAAAGCTTGAAGGAGATTCAGAATTCTTGAAACCTCTCTACGCCAAAGAAATCCGGTCAAGACCAGTAAGTTGTTGGGGAAGGAATAAGCACATTTCTGTAGCACGAACTGTAAGAAACCATGAAGTGTCAAAGTGGTGTGTTTATTGGATAAATTCCTTAGGCCACTCTATACGAATGTAATTTGGGGAGTGAGACTGTGAGTGTCCTTTGAGGACTCCATCTGGATACTATATCCTCTGGGCATTGCAAAGTTGATATATGTGGGTTTAGTTTGTGCAAGCCACGCTTAAAATGCTTCCAGCACCACTGAGGTTTCAGATTGTCCTTTTGTCTCCTTTCAAGATAAATGACAAACAACCCTCAAGTGAGAGACCTAATGTTTCTGAGGTAGAGGGATGGCAGGCAGTTGGTTAACTAGTTACTCCTTTTCTGCAGGGAGCAGAGTTGATGCCTTGGCACAAGGACCTGATCTGTTGTTAGCAGGCACAAGAAACCTGTATTACGTGCTCAGTCCTATTTCTATTTCATTTTGAGTTTTAAAATTATGTGCAGTTAAAATTCAGTGCTGTTAGAAGAGAGACTGCTTGACAGAAGTGGCAAGGATGTTAACAACTGAAAATGAGAAAGAACCCAAGTGTGATTGAAATAACATTTTCATAGGAGCACTTCACTGACTGTCAGTGACTTTTGCTCTTTCAAATGCAATCCTGTTTGTCCTGAGCAGCTTTAAAATAACTGAAACAATTACAGAGAGCGTCCAGGATCCTTCTCAGAAGATGTTGTCTGTCTTGTTTCCTGATCCAGAGTGTTAATTTGAGTCAGATGCCAACCTTCCACTTTGATAACAACGGCAGATAGCTAATTAAATAAAGTTAACATCCCTTTATCTCAGCATTTCAGTGCTCTTGTAGAAATTGGAACTTGTAGCGTAATCAACACAACAGCCAATAGAATATCCAATTTAATTATTGAAGGTTGTAACCTCTGTAAGATAGCTAGGAATTGATTTGAACATGGATAATTATTTAGGAAGAAAAGTTGCTAAGAAAACGTTCATATCTATTAGCATTTTCATCCCTGAATTAAAACAGAAGTGCAGAACCGTGCATGCCATAGACTGTAATGTAAAATGTGTGGGAAGGGTGCAGCACTCAGTTTGATAAATACACTGACAAACTGATACATAAGTTTCTTTTTCTCTAGTTAGCTTGCTTGAAATAATATTTGATTAGTAAGAGAACTGAGAGCTACTTCTTGCTACTGGGGAGTTTGCTGCTTTATTTTATAATATTAATCTACATTTTAAAATGGCCAGGGGGCCAAAAGGTGTCCCCATCTTGAGATTAGGAAACCATTTCATGGTTTCCACACCACTGACAGTTTAATGAGTGCAAGGAACAAGAAATGTATGGTGAGGCCTGTGTGTTCCTTCCTTTATCCCTCCTTCAGGTTTATTTTTGCTGCTAGTCAGAGAGGGATCTTGCTGCAAGACAGAAGGTCTGATCTACAGGCTAGTGAGTTGGAGCATCCCTCCTGGCTTCAGTAGATGCTATATTAACTATATATTTACATAAACTATATGTATAGTTTCTCTGACTTCTCAGTGGAGTTAAACTGGCATAGCCTGTGCTGGCTTTCAGGATGCTCACAGTAATGGAGTTTCTGTCAGGGATGGGGAGGAACAGGGGCAATTCTGTTGATTTCAATCAACTTCTGCTTTCTTGTGCTGTGTGTGAATTTGCTTGTAAGCAAATTCCCTTGCTCATGTAAGCAAATGCAAGGGTTGCAGTGAATCAAAGGTTGATAGTTATGGAATATTTATAAATATTATTAAATAATCAATGTTTTGTTTTTGCAAAGAACTGTAGCATAAGGCAGTATTCTCTTGGAGGAAAGCATGCTAGCGGCTCCTAACTTGATGAATATTGCTGAAATAGAGTGCCAAACTCAGCACTCGGTAACAGATGAACATCTATACTAATTCCATAGTAATCCTCTCTGGGTTTCCACAGGTGTGTAATGCGGCTTTAAATATGCAAAGTGTAACAGAAACAAGATGACAAATACCGGTAAAATAAAGAGCATCCCAGAAATAAGCTGACATAAAGTATTTTTCACCTGTTTAATTAAACAACTGAAGAGTTGTGCATGGTAGTAGAAAACAGTTTTATATAAAGACCTTCAGATGCTGGGTATTTATAGAAAACTTTCACAGACAACCCCAACAAATAGAATTTCACTATAATTCTGTGTAGTAGATGAAGGGGTGTTTGTGCTGCATGGAAATGGCATGGGAAGAATTGCTTTAAGTGTGAATGTTTTCCCATGACCTTCATGTGGTGGGTTTTCCCACTCGTGTCTCAGTGCTGGTCCCCATGCTGCTCTGCTGCAGGCAGAGCTGGGCAATCCCTGCCAAAATATCTCCAAAACATGAATTGTGATAATTCTTGAAAGCCTGAATTTGTCAGTGGTGCCTCTTCTTCTCTGCTGCATCTCTTAAGTCCCGGGAAGGTGGTAATTAAAATCACACACTTGCTTTCCTAGCAGCTGTGCCTTCTGGTTTAAAGATTTGGATTTTCCAGTTAAAAGAGGATGCTTTTTGCTTTTTGCTTCCCCCCCCCGCCCCCAAATTAATTTGGCAGGAAGACCAAGGTTTAGAGAGGAGGAAAAGTCCTCAGATCATCCCAAGAGACTGGGTGCCTTAATGAGGCACTGCTCCCTTCATCACCTTCTGGATAGACTAGTTGCTTGCAGCTGTGCTCCTTTTGGAAGGTAACTCATTGCAAGGGAAATTACACCAAGAAGAACTGAATCTGTCGTACTATGGCATGCAATTGATGATGACCCAACAAAGACATCTTCTGGGGAGTCCCTTCAAAAATGTTAGCAGAGGGACTGGACTGATGTTGTTCAGACCTGTGCTGGAGAAATGGTTGTTAAAACCACAAGCATGAACTGGCTTCTTAAAACTACTTCCAGCTGCTTTCTTTCTGCACCACTGCTGCCTCATTTCTCAGGGATGACACTGCCCAGACTTGCTTTCGTTTTCCCTTACCCATTCAAGAGTGACCCTCTAAATCCCTCTCTCTTCATGTAACGAGGGTCTCTGTTCTTGTTGTTTCCCCATCCTAGTCCTGGCTCAGTAATACTGGTTTTGTAGTGCATCCTGGATTGGGAGCCTGTCTCTAAGCATCAGAGATTTCAAATGAACCTAACCTTGTTACTGCATGAGGTTAAGTTTATCTTGAGATTAATGAATAGTTACTGTGGTAGCACTGTTTGCACCCTTGTAGTTTAGTTTTAAATAAATGAGATAGGTGCATTCCCTTTTCCAGGAGTGTTCAGAGCATTTTAAACTCACAGCTGAACATACTGCACACTAAATAATATTTTCTATGCCACTTGCATGGAACATGAACATCTTGCTGCCTTTAATTAAGTAGTTAACTGGACCATGAAAGGTTGCCTGTGTAAATAAAAGTGATTTTTACTTAGTCAAGAAGGTGCATTAAGAATTCTCACATTTCTTTACTTGCAGATGAATTATGGAGATTATTAAAAATTGGAAGGGTCATCTATAAACCCATCTGTAGCTCAGCTGCACTGTCACTCTCAAAATTTAGCTGTCTTTCTAACTGTTGTAATTTATTGTGGACTACTATATGAACCATCTGTTTGCTTATAAATCAGACAAACTTTGACTGAAAGTTGTACGCAGCAGCACGAATTGTTAATTTTATGTGCTGGAAAGCAATGGCACCAGTTTTGTGGTCTTCGATCTTCATTGCCTGAATTTGAGTAGAGATATAAAGCTGGAAACTTTCCTGCCTTTGTTGAGAAGAGCTGATAACAAGCAGGTTGCTTGAAACTTACAGTGAGCACAGATTTAGCTGTCTTAGTGCAATTGAAGTGTTCTAAAGCTTGTGACATCCAGGTCTCTAAGTAACTTAAAAGGGGCAAGAGAGAGAACAGGCTATGTGCATTTTCCATTCCAGTAACAACAGAAATAAAATCCTGTGCTGTGATTATACAGGAAAATCAAGTGAATTCTCTCAGGAGCTGTGTGACAGCCAATGAGATGATAATCTCAGCTTTAGAAAGCAGAGAAAGACATTGTCATGATAGGATTAGTATGCTTTTGCCCTTTCAATGTTCACTTCAAGTACATAGAAAGAAAAAATAAACCTTAGTTTGCAAATGTTTGCACCTGGGTTTCAATTTTCTTACCCTGAATCATTTTAAAGACAAGAGTATGAATTTGCCTGGCAAAGATTTTTTACAGTATAAAGCTCTCGACTGGGGTCCTGCCATTCAGCTCTTGAAGACTCTCATATGGATGGGTGGGTCTGGAAACACAGATGGAAACGTGGGCACCAACCTTCTTATCTGTCCTCTGCTGTCTGGGGGAGCTCCAAGCTATTCTGTTGCTGCACAGGTATAAGTGATGGCAAAATTCACTGAACAGATTTGGAGGTGGTTTTAAGTGTCTTTTAAAAGAGATCTCATTGTATTTTGCTGGTTTCATGTTGAAAGTTTGCTTCCCATTATTTTTCATCAACTGAAAAAAGAATTTAAAACAAGACTCCTATACACCCCCCCAAAAAAGCCTGAAGCAAAGTACAGTGTAATTATTATTATTATTATTAACTTTATTTTATTGGGGTTATGTTAGAAGTCCATATCCTACTCACTGTGCCAGCGAGTGCCTAACTGAGAGCAGCCTCCTCGTTCAGTGTTGGAATGGTCTCATTGGAAGCTGTATGAAATAACTAGTGGCTACATGCAAGTGGCAGATGCAAGGGCATCTGTTTGGCCTAAAAAATTCAGGGTTTGGACTAAAAAAAATCAGTTGTGAATTAGGGCTGGTAACTGCTGTTCCCTTTAGGGGTTTAGTAAGTTCTCATCAGCATAAAAGCAAGTGCATAAAATATACTCATCTGTATTTTCCCAGCCATTATTTGAATGATAAAAATCTGAAAGGAAGCTTTTAAGAGTGATAAATAATTATTTTGCCAATGTACTTGTCTCGGATCTGGAAGAAGAGTGGTATAATTTTAAAGCAC